CATGTTTGAGCTGGTCACCTGGTTCTTTGACCCTGAGAAGTTCTCAAGTTGCCACCAACAGCATTACACAGTCACAAGAGCAGAAGGACTCCCTAAGAGTTTGGTAGTCTGCAGATTGTTACAGGGGTGAGGGGAACAGAGAAGCACCCCCACTTATATTTTCTGTGGAACTCTGAATTCCTCGGCTGCCAATCTCTCGGATTTTGCTGCGTTTTTTGTATGCAACCCGGCTTCTTCTATTGGGATTTCTGACAGGTCCTGGCTCTCTTCCCTCAATATTCCATTCAGAACACGCCCATTCACCAACAACTTTGACCTAGTTTTTGAAGAGAACTGGTATCTGATGTCCCTAGTCAGCCATCTTGAAAAAAATGAATTACGAATATTTTTAGAAAGCAAGAATGGCATGGTTACTGCCTTATTTCTCAAGTCTTAACTATTTTTCTTTTCCCATTGACTGTCTCTTTCATTTAACATTATTTCCCAAAGAATTTGGTATTTGTTTCTATTATGGCTTTATCACTAGGCACAAAAACTTAATAGATGGTCAATTAATGAATAAATGGAAAAAAGAGAGCAAATAAGGGAGGGAGAGCAGGAAAAATGAAGGCAGAATCACTGAAGTCCAAATCATTACCTAAATACTTGTTAGGATTATATAGGGTCATATGGTATATAAAATTAGCATCACTCCTTGGTAAGAGAGAAAAAGAAACAAGAAAGAAATGAAATATATAATTATATTATAATGTATAATGATATATTTATATAAATAATATATATTATATATAATATAAAGTATATATAAATAGGCTGAGGAAGGAGAATGGCTTGAACTCGGGAGGCGGAGCTTGCAGTGAGCCAAGATCACGCCACTGCACTCCAGCCTGGGTGACAGAGCGAGACTCCGTCTCAAAAAAAAAAAAAATCAAATCTTAGAAATGAATTTAAATAAAAATATATAGACCCACACAGGATGAAGGTGTATAACTTTATTATGAGACATTAAAAATACCTGTAGCAAGTAAATATTCATAAATAAATGGAGGGAAACACAATGCCCATTGATTAGAATACTTGATATCAAAAAGCATAATTTCTAAAACTGATTTATCAATTTAGATTTAATATCAAGTAAAGTTTCAATAGAATATTTTAATGGCTTTTTACAAGCTTATTTACATTTTTAAATAAAAATGCAAATGGCCAAGAATAGTTAAGACACTTGAAGAATATGAACAGATGAAGGGTATGTCCTCTTAGCATTGAGATGTATTATAAAGCTCTAATAATCATTGCAGTGTAGTATTGGATCAGAAATAAATAGGTCAATATGACAGAGTAGAGAGCTCAGAGGGGGAAAAGTCCTCACATGTATTGCTGTCTTATTTATGACAAAAATGGCACTATAGAGCAATGGGAAAGGACGGTCTTATTGATAAATAATGCAGAGACAATTATGTATCTATATGAATGAAATTAGGCCCCTAATCCACACCATACCACACATATGTATGAGGTAGATCAATCTGAATATAGTAGACAAAATGTAAACTTAGAAGAGCACATAGGAAACTATCTTAAAAGAACTTGGAATAAGTAAATTATCTTAAAACAAGAAATATAAAGCATTAAGCATAAAGAAAATGATTATTAAACTTCACTATAGTATTTTTAAGAACTTTTGTTTACCAGAAGGCACTATATAAAACATGAAAAAATAAGTCAGAGTGGAAGAAGATAGATCTAACTTATAAAATTCAGAAAGGACTGCTTTCTACTACAAATCGATGAGTAAAAAAAGGCAGACAACTCAATAGAAAAATGAGCAAAAGACATGAACAGGCATTTCACAAAAAGGGACATTGTTTTAAGTTACCAAAATACATACATATGAAATATGCTTGACTTCACCATTATTATTCACAGCTATTATTTGGGAAATGCAAATTAAATAACACTATATGTATGATATTGGTCAAAATAGAAAAATCTGACAATACCAAGGATTGGTGAGGATACAGGGCAACAAGAAGTCTCCTACAATATTGGTGGTAGTATAAACTCTTACAAGTTGGGTATCACTCATCTGAAATATTTATGACTGAAAGTGTTTTAGGTTTTGAATTTCTCTGGATTTTGGAATACTTACTTATGCATTATAAGGTATCTTGGGAATGGACACAACTCCAAACACAAAATTAATTTATGTTTTATGTACACCCTATACACATAGTCTGAAGGTAATTTTATACAATATTTTAAATAATTTTGTGCATAAAACAAAGTTTGTGTGCATTTAACCATAAGAAAGCAAATGATGTGGACAATCCATCTCCAGTTGTTTGGCATTACCATCACTCCTGACTGAATTTATATGCTACCAATAAGCAATCATTTTCTTACATTTATCCACATGTAAGTACTGAACAGTAACAATTATGAAATGCCATTAAGATAGTAAAATGATGTATTCAAGGTAACTTATGATGTCATGTTGACATTGAGAAAGTTTGGATTTTGGAGCATTTCGGATTTTGCATTTTCAGATTACCATCTGTGCATCCACCTTGGAAAACGGTTTGGCAATGTCTTATAAAGTTGAAGATACACATATCCTGTGATCAGCAATTCTGCTCTTAGTTGTACACCCTGAAGAAATGATAATTTATGTGCAGCAAAGTATACAAACAAGAATATTCATGACAATATTGTTTGTAACTATCCAAACATGGAAATAACTCAGGTGACCAACTAAAGCAGCAGGTTCATATAAATCGTGACATATCTATACAATTCAGTTTTTACTTAATATATTTGTTATATGTTATACTCACATAATAATGAAAATTATATACATCTTATAAACAATGTTGGGGAAAAAAGCAAGACAAATGAAAACATGTTGTAAGGTTCTAATTTCATTCATATAAACTTAGATGAATAAAAAGCTGAATTATATTAGTTTTTGCACTTCTAAACACAATTTAGAAAAGAATATCTTAATATTTGTATCTGGAAGAGTATACAAGATTTTTCATAAAATTGTTTATTAATCCCCCAAAACTGGAAATAAGCAAAACATCCATTAGCAGTACAATGGACAATCAATATATAGAGTGTTTTTGTAAGAAGATAAAATACATATTAAAATATCAATTGAATTACAGCATATGATACGTTGTAAATCAATATACAACATAATAAAATAGAATATAAATATATGAATGAACTGCATGGACCCACATTAACATGGATGCATCTCAGATGTCAGCTTTTCTGGTCTTTTCTAGTTTATTGTGGCAAATTTACTTTTACCTGCCTTGTGTGCTCGGAGAACACTTATGTAAAACTAGAATAATACTTATTTAACTTGAGTGCCTTACTCTCTGAACTGAAAAATTTTTAGAGGAGTTTCTTACTTCTGCATCCTGACCAGGCCCACTTTGCACAGAACAGTAGCTGATGGGCATGATCACCTTTGCTGGGTCCTCGTGAAACTCTTTGGTACCCAGTGGCCCTTTGATATTTGTCAGACATAGTTGATCAGAACACTACTTCTGACATCCTCCTTCTCTCCTCTACAAAGTTTCCTCGGTCCTCTTATCTCTCTCTCTTGTTCAAGTAGTGCCCTGCTCTACTCCCCTATGCTTTAAATGCTGAGGTTATGTGTACTGTGCTTACTTTTTATTTCGCATCTTAATTTAATCCCTAAAACCTATAACTTGGTTTCATTACCTTTCATTTTCACTTCTGTGACTCTGATTCTGTCCTTAATTATGTTCGAAATGAATTAGTATTATTTTCATATTGTTTTTTTATCTTCTGCTATAGATAGCCTTTGTTGTATTCTATAGATAGAAAATACCCAGTATGTATGCGCATACCAGATAGAATAATAGATCAGGGCATTTTTTTCCTATGAGCTAAAGTAGCCTCAGAACCCTCTCAACATGTTATTGTAAGAAGCTACTACAAATGGAATTGACATGCAGCTAAGATCTAATTGCCATTCCAGCTTTATTTCATTCTGTGATGTAATGACAGATTAATGTTAAATCACCTCTACTTTAAAAAATCCCTCCTGTTCTTAATAAATTATAATGGTTTCCTTCTGAGGATCAAGTACCTACTCCCTAGTGTGGCACCTGAAAGCTTCCTTATCTTTCCAAATTGCTTTCCTTCTCACCACACATTGTACAAGTTCTCCATCCCAGCCAGACAAATCCATTTATGGCTCCAACATCTAACTTAATCATCTCTGGGTCTAAGCCTTTATTTGGATTCTCATAACTAGAACCATCTCCCTTTTCTTCCAATCCAAATGTTATACTGTTTCTGAGGTTTAATAGGGAAGTAAAATATATTGAAGGGACACACTTCCTTTCAATCTTGTTAGGGAGAAAAAAGTCAACTAGATTCATATAGAAGAATACTCAGTCAGGTGCAGACTGGAATTCAGTATCTTCACCTATAAAGTAGAATTCAATAGTAATAGTGAAACACAGAAATTACCACGTGCTTTAATCCATTACATATTACCTATATGGTTATAGAGTCATTTTCCTCCTAACTAGATTTTAAGGTAAATAATGCATTTTTAATTTCTATTGTATTATCCTTCATTGTCCAATGAACAAAATATTTGTATAGCAATTCACAGGGCATTATTCTCAATAACTAAAATAGGTAATAGGCAAATGCTCTACTCTTCATTTTAAAATAATTAAAATAATTACCAGAACACTCTTCATTTTACTGATGACGTTGAGGCTCATAGGGGAGATGTAACTTGCTCTGGATCATGCAGCTAGTTAGGGGTAGAGGCAGGACTTAAGTCCCCGTTGAAAGTAGGCTATATACATGAAAGGGTACTTAAAATTGAGATTCAAGAAGATTGGTCTAAATGCAGCCTGCATGGAGGGAAGCAAGAATGATAGGGCGATAATAATCTAGAGAAGAGGAGTGAAGTTTCTATCTTCCCCTTCTTTGGTCACCAGGTTATGAAAATGGAGACGAAGGACTCAAAAGGGATTTCAGCAGTGTAATGAACAGCAGCTGGAACTGTTTGGGAGTTGAAGTAAGGGAGAGAACGATACAAATGATGATTCTGAAACTTTGAAACTCTCAAACTGGGAATAATAGTGAAGCCAGGAGAACAGCTAAAAGGAAAAGTGAGTTTAGGTGGGACAATGGTAAACTTAAGCTAAGTGAGGTCATCCAGGAGACATCAAGTGGGTTTTGGGGACTACAGAATAGATCTAGAAGTGATTAAAGGAAGAAAAGATGTAAACTGAGTAAGGGAATGGGCAAGAAGAAAGAGAATTAAAAATAGCCCTCCCCAGCGGGGCGCGGTGGCTCAAGCCTGTAATCCCAGCACTTTGGGAGGCCGAGACGGGCGGATCACGAG